TTCCAATAATTATAATTCAATATCTCGTCCCACCAAAATCTCCGTTAGAAATTTGATCGTAATTATGATAATAACGCACCATCTTGTGCCACTTCGTAAGAGCACAAATTTCAGCATTATTAGACTGATCTGGAATATTCCTCAGTGGATCCGCATCACTGAACGACCGCACGACACGACTCGGTGATACATCACTACGTATCTGAGCGATTTTATTTCATTGAGAATAACATTAAATGAGATCGATACATTCAGTTTGAGCAACAGCTAACCGTTTCAATCCATAAGCATCGCGATATTGAACGACTGTTTAATGCATAAAGTTTGATGAGTTCAGAGGTAAAGAGTATGGTACCTGTGCATTGGAAAGATTTGCATTGATCATTGGACGTCTATCATCAACATTCACCTGCTGATTGTTGAATAAATCGGATGTTGATTTTAAGGCTGGACGATTAGATGAATTGTGGTTGAGTGAAGACGAATACGATCGGTCGGATTGGGACTGACTGCATAAACATTCGACGGTGCTCGATTTGGAGATGGTGTTCGAGCTGATTGACCTTTGCGATGTTTCATATTGAGGAACGACAGTAGACAGCTGTTTGGATTCACGTTTGTAACGACGGGTTGGAAATAAATCGCGGAGTTTTGAAAGAGAGGTTATGAAAGGACGACGAGGGGAAGGGGACCGAGGTGATGACGACGACGGTTGTTGCTTTGACGGTGAAACTGTTAAGACAACTGCTGAGACCTTTTGAACATTCCGATTCGACAATCCCGCACACATTTCGATGTTTTTGGTGCACTCGATCAAGGAGCTGACACTTTTGACTCGTCGATGACGTTGAGGCTGAAAATTGATTGTTTCGATGGGTGTGATTCGAAGGGTTGTGAATTAAAAGCGAATTTCTTGCTTGTAACACATGACAACTCAAAATGTTTCATATGAATATATAAAGTTTGATAAGTTCACATGCAATTCTCACAATTTATTAGCCGATATTAATTAGCCTTTCATGTGCTGCACAGTTCGACTCTGTTCCATTGTGAAGGTGCGTCAGAATGAACCTCATTCTTAACAATACAAAATGCGAGGCTATATAACAATCAAGTACCATATAAAAGCTTCAGTAAGCTTAAACAACAAATATGATAATTAACGTGTATCTCACTTCAACACGAACCACATCATGTCCTTCACCACTGAATTGATCAGTGGTTGATGGTTTGCCACTGCCTAGTGGAGTCGACTCACTGGTCACATCTCTCTTTATTTGATTTGCAACCCCACCCGATTCTTCGGTAACTTGCTTGCAGATGTTGTTTTCGTTTCTATGAGAACTTAACGACGGACCAGTCTTATCAACTTTACAGAA